CCCCTGGTGGTCTTTAGCGTGGCCCTTGGTGTTCTTTAGCGTGGCCCCTGGTGGTCTTTAGCATGGCGCCTGGTGGTCTTTAGTGTGGCCCCTGGTGGTCTTTAGTGAGGCCCCTGGTGGTCTTTAGTGTGGCCCCTGGTGGTCTTTATTGAGGCCACTGGTGGTCTTTAGTGAGGCCCCTGGTGGTCTTTAGTGTGGCCCTTGGTGTTCTTTAGCGTGGCCCCTGGTGGTCTTTAGCATGGCGCCTGGTGGTCTTTAGTGTGGCTCCTGGTGGTCTTTAGTGAGGCCCCTGGTGGTCTTTAGTGTGACCCCTGGTGGTCTTTAGCGTGGCCCCTGGTGGTCTTTAGTGCGGCCCGTGATGGTCTTTAGTTTGGCCCCTGGTGGTCTTTAGTGTGGCCCCTGGTGGTCTTTAGTGCGGCCCCTGGTGGTCTTTAGCGTGGCCCCTGGTGGTCTTTAGTGTGGCCCCTGATGGCCTTTAGTGTGACCCCTGGTCGTCTTTAGTGTGGCCCCTGGTGGTCTTTAGTGAGGCCCCTGATGGCCTTTAGTGTGACCCCTGGTGGTCTTTAGTGCGGCCCCTGGTGACCTTTAGTGCGGCCCCTTTGATCTTTAGTGTGGCCCCTGGTGGTCTTTAGCGTGGCCCCTGCTGGACTTTAGTGTGGCCCCTGGTGGTTTTTAGTGAGGCCCCTGATGGCCTTTAGTGAAGCCCCTGGTGATCTTTAGTGAGGCCCCTGGTGGTCTTTAGGGTGGCCCCTGATGGTGTTTAGTGTGGCCCCTGGTGGTTTTTAGTGTGGTCTTTGGTGGTCTTTAGTGAGGCCCCTGGTGGTCTTTAGTGTGGCCCCTGATGGCCTTTAGTGTGGCCCCTGGTGGTCTTTAGCGTGGCCCCTGGTGGTCTTTAGCGTGGCCCCTGATAGTCTTTAGTGTGGCCCCTGGTGGTCTTTAGTGTGGCCCCTGGTGGTCTTTAGTGTGGCTCCTGGTGGTCATTAGTGCGGGCCCTGGTGATCTTTAGTGCGGCCCCTGGTGATCTTTAGTGTGCTCGTTGGTGGTCTTTAGTGAGGCCCCTGATAGTCTTTAGTGAGGCCCCTGGTGGTCTTTAGTGTGGCCCCTGATGGCCTGTAGTGTGCCCCTGGTGGTCTTTAGCGTGGCCCCTGGTGATCTTTAATGTGGCCCCTGGTGGTCTTTAGTGTGGCCCCTGGTGGTCTTTAGCGTGGCTCCTGGTGGTCATTAGTGCGGGCCCTGGTGATCTTTAGTGCGGCCCCTGGTGATCTTTAGTGTGGCTCCTGGTGGTCTTTAGTGTGGCTCCTGGTGGTCATTAGTGTGGCCCCTTGTGGTCTTTAGTGAGGCCCCTGGTGATCTTTAGTGTGGCCCCTGGTGGTCTTTAGTGAGGCCCCTGGTGGTCTTTCATGCGGTCCCTGGTGGCCTTTAGTACGGACCCTGGTGGACTTTAGTACGGCCCCTGATGGCCTTTAGTGAAGCCCCTGGTGATCTTTAGTGAGGGCCCTAGTGGTCTTTAGCGTGGCCCCTGATGGTCTTTAGCGTGGCCCCTCGTGGTCTTCAGTGTGGCCCTTGGTGGTCTTTATCGTGGCCCCTGGTGGTTTTTAGTGAAGCCCCTGGTGATCTTTAGTGTGGCCCCTGGTGGTCTTTTGCGTGGCCCCTGGTGGTCTTTAGCGTGGCCCCTGGTGATCTTTAGTGTGGCCCCTGGTGGTCTTTAGTGTGGCCCGTGGTGATCTTTAGTGTGGCCCCTGGTGGTCTTTAGTGTGGCCCGTGGTGATCTTTAGTGTGGCCCCTGGTGGTTATTAGTGTGGCCCCTGGTGGTCTTTAGTGTGGCCCGTGGTGATCTTTAGTGTGGCCCCTGGTGGTTATTAGTGTGGCCCCTGGTGGTCTTTAGTGTGGCCCCTGGTGGGCTTCAGCGTGGCCCCTGGTGGTCTTTAGTGTGGCCCCTGGTGGTCTTTAGTGTGGCCCCTGGTGGTCTATAGCGTGGCCCCTGTTGATCTTTAGTGTGGCCCCTGGTGATCTTTAGTGTGGCCCCTGGTGGTCTTTAGTGTGGCCCCTGGTGATCTTTAGTGTGGCCCCTGGTGGTCTTTAGCGTGGCCCCTGGTGGTCTTTAGCGTGGCCCCTGTTGATCTTTAGTGTGGCCCCTGGTGATCTTTAGTGTGGCCCCTGGTGGGCTTCAGCGTGGCCCCTGGTGATCTTTAGTGTGGCCCCTGGTGGTCTTTAGTGTGGCCCCTGGTGGTCTTTAGTGTGGCCCCTGGTGGTCTATAGCGTGGCCCCTGTTGATCTTTAGTGTGGCCCTTGGTGGTCTTTAGTGTGACCCGTGGTGGTCTTTAGTGTGGCCCCTGGTGGTCTTTAGCGTGGCCCCTGGTGGTCTTTAGTGTGGGCCCTGGTGGTCTTTAGTGTGGCCCATGGTGGTCTTCAGTGTGGCCCCTGGTGGTCTTTAGTGTGGCCCCTGGTGGTCTTTAGCGTGGCCCCTGGTGGTCTTTAGCGCGGCCCCTCGTGGTCTTTATTGTGGCCCCTGATGGTCTTTAGCGTGGCCCCTGGTGATCTTTAGTGAGGCCCCTGTTGGTCTTTAGCGTGGCCCCTGGTGATCTTCAGTGTGGCCCCTGGTGGTCTTTAGTGCGGCCCCTGGTGGTCTTTAGTGTGGCGCCTGGTGGTCTTTAGTGCGGCCCCTGGTGGTCTTTAGCGTGGCCTCTGGTGGTCTTTAGTGAGGCCCCTGGTGGTCTTTAGTGTGGCCCCTGGTGGTCTTTAGTGTGGCCCCTGGTGGTCTTTAGTGTGGCCCCTGATGGCCTTTAGTGTGGCCCCTGGTGGTCTTTAGCGTGGCCCCTGGTGGCCTTTATTGCGGCCCCTCGTGGTCTTTAGCGTGACCCCTGGTGGTCTTTAGCGTGGCCCCTGGTGGTCTTTAGTTAGGCCCCTGGTGGTCTTTATTGAGGCCACTGGTGGTCTTTAGTGAGGCCCCTGGTGGTCTTTAGCGTGGCCCTTGGTGCTCTTTAGCGTGGCCCCTGGTGGTCTTTAGCATGGCGCCTGGTGGTCTTTAGTGTGGCCCCTGGTGGTCTTTAGTGTGGCCCTTGGTGGTCTTCAGTGTGGCCCCTGGTGGTCTTTAGTGTGGCCCCTGGTCGTCTTTAGCGTGGCCCCTGGTGGTCTTTAGCGTGGCCCCTGGTGATCTTCAGTGTGGCCCCTGGTGGTCTTTAGTGCGGCCCCTGTTGGTCTTTAGCGTGGCCCCTGGTGGTCTTTAGTGTGGCGCCTGGTGGTCTTTAGTGTGGCCCCTGGTGGTCTTTAGCGTTGCGCCTGGTGGTCTTTAGTGCGGCCCCTGGTGGTCTTTAGCGTGGCCTCTGGTGGTCTTTAGTGAGGCCCCTGGTGGTCTTTAGTGTGGCCCCTGGTAGTCTTTAGCGTGGCCACTTGTGGTCTTTAGTGTGGCCCCTGATGGCCTTTAGTGTGGCCCCTGGTGGTCTTTAGCGTGGCCCCTGGTGGCCTTTAGTGCGGCCCCTCGTGGTCTTTAGCGTGACCCCTGGTGGTCTTTAGCGTGGCCCCTGGTGGTCTTTAGTTAGGCCCCTGGTGGTCTTTATTGAGGCCACTGGTGGTCTTTAGTGAGGCCCCTGGTGGTCTTTAGCGTGGCCCTTGGTGTTCTTTAGCGTGGCCCCTGGTGGTCTTTAGCATGGCGCCTGGTGGTCTTTAGTGTGGCCCCTGGTGGTCTTTAGTGAGGCCCCTGGTGGTCTTTAGTGTGGCCCCTGGTGGTCTTTATTGAGGCCACTGGTGGTCTTTAGTGAGGCCCCTGGTGGTCTTTAGTGTGGCCCTTGGTGTTCTTTAGCGTGGCCCCTGGTGGTCTTTAGCATGGCGCCTGGTGGTCTTTAGTGTGGCCCCTGGTGGTCTTTAGTGAGGCCCCTGGTGGCCTTTAGTGTGGCCCCTGGTGGTCTTTAGCATGGCGCCTGGTGGTCTTTAGTGTGGCCCCTGGTGGTCTTTAGTGCGGCCCCTGGTGGTCTTTAGTGTGGCCCCTGGTGGTCTTTAGTGAGGCCCCTGGTGGTCTTTAGTGTGGGCCCTGGTGGTCTTTAGTGTGGCCCCTGATGGCCTTTAGTGTAGCCCCTGGTGGTGTTTAGTGTGGCCTCTGATGGCCTTTACTGTGGCCCCTGATGGTCTTTAGTGTGGCCCCTGGTGGTCTATAGCGTGGCCCCTGGTGGTCTTTAGCGCGGCCCTTCGTGGTCTTTAGCGTGGCCCTTGGTGGTCTTTAGCGTAGCCCCTGGTGGTCTTTAGTGAGGCCCGTGGTGGTCTTTATTGAGGCCACTGGTGGTCTTTTGTGTGGCCCCTGGTGGTCTTTAGCGAGGCCCCTGGTGGTCTTTAGCGTGGCCCCTGGTGATCTTTGGTGTGGCCCCTGGTGGTCTTTAGTGTGGCCCCTGGTGGTTTTTATTGAGGCCCCTGGTGGTCTTTAGCGTGGCCCCTGGTGGTTTTTATTGAGGCCCCTGGTGGTCTTTAGCGTGGTCCATGGTGGTCTTTAGTACGGCCCCTGGTGGTCTTTAGTGTGGGCCCTGGTGGTCTTCAGCGTGGCCCCTGGTGATCTTTAGTGTGGCCCCTGGTGGTCTTTAGTGTGGCCCCTGGTGGTCTTTAGCGTGGCCCCTGGTGGTCTTTAGCGTGGCCCCTCGTGGTCTTTAGTGTGGCCCCTGGTGATCTTTAGTGTGGCCCCTGGTGGTCTTCAGTGTGACCCCTGGTGATCTTTAGTGTGGCCCCTGGTGATCTTTAATGTGGCCCCTGGTGTTCTTCAGTGTGACCCCTGGTGGTCTTCAGTGTGGCCCCTGGTGATCTTTAGTGAAGCCCCTGGTGGTCTTTAGTGTGGCCCCTGATGGCATTTAGTGTGGCCCCTGGTGGTCATTAGCGTGGCCCCTGGTGGGTTTTAGTGTGGCCCCTGGTGGTCTTTAGTGTGGCCCCTGATGGCCTTTAGTGTGGCCCCAGGTGGTCGTTAGTGTGGCCCCTGGTGGTCGTTAGTGTGGCCCCTGGTGGTCGTTAGTGTGGCCCCTGGTGGTCTTCAGCGTGGCCTCTGGCGGTCTTTAGTGCGGCCCCTGGTGGTCTTTGGTGAGTGTCAAACACATATTGAAGCCACACCCGTCGTTTTGTTGTTGTCAATCAGTGAGCAAGCGACAAGGATAATACATTTATTGACTGCGATTTATTCCAAACGCCTATTTTCCCCACCCATATCACACCAGGGCAGGTTCATCTCCAAATACATCTGACGTGGCCGTAATGATGATTGCTACAATCATTATAATATCGATCCTTCCCACTGCTACCTACTTACGTGAGTGACATCACGGGTGACATCGACCTTCAAATTCTGCATGCGGTGCCAATGGAATGCCGGCCAACCCGTTGCTGATGAGGCTGTTCAAGAGCGAACCCGCCCACCGTGCCCAGAGGATTCGCTAGCAGCCGGTCAACGGTGGGGGGAGGGAGGGGGGATCGGTGAGGTAGCTCCAGCACTCAGCGCTCAGGTGCTGACGCTCAGGTGCTGGTTACATCCTGACACTAAGGTACTGACACGTGCTGATACCCAGGTACTGACACACACACACTGACACACACTCGCGTAACCGACACGCGCGCGCTGACGCACTGACACAGACAGCCGCGCCGACACCGATGCCACATTTCAGTCGCACACAGCAACGCACGCTCAACTTCACGCACGCACGCACGCGCATCCAGGGAAGACACCACACGCGGAGTACCGACATCATCGGGGTAGGAGGAGGGGGGGGAGTCGTCACCGCTACGTCCGTGCCCACCGCTCTTCTCACAGTGAGTCACGGGGAAGGGGATCGTAGCAAGAGGTGGGAGAGAGAGGGGGTCGTGGGGGGGGGGGTGTTGGGCGCTGTGCGTCTGTGTGTGTGTGCATCAGCCAGTCGTCTCAGTCAGTCGACCCGTGGCACCTGCTGGGTCTGCCCCGTGACCTCCTGCCAGCGGGCGTTCGACGCTTCACGTGGCCTTTAAGGTGCACATAGCCTGGCACAAGCGTCGTGGTGACGTCACCGCCACTTAGTGGTGAATGGCGGTTGTTGTTGTTGTTGCGTTTGTGTGGTTGGGGGCAATCGTCTCGAGTTATTCAACCCCGGCTCTGTCCCGTGATGTCCTCCTGCCCGCAGCGAGCCGTCGACGCTTCACGTGGCCTCAAACAAAGACGGTCTCGCGGTGTGGCCTGCTCGAGACTGGGGGTTGGGGTGGGGTTGGGGCAAGCGCTGTTCGCTAAGTATCGCCTGCGAAGGTCGGGTGGGGTTGGTTGTGGCCGGCACCACGCAACAACCGCCTTTGTCTCCCCCAGAGGCGACTTTCTTTTTTTGCACACCGCACCGGGCACTGATTTGAGGCCGAGTCGACCTAGGGGAGGCCCAGGACGGGTCGCTGGCAGTCGAACTGGGGTCGGTTCGTAGCGCGGCGTGGCGCTAACCGCTGCACCACCGCTCCCCGTGTTGTTTATTCCCACGAAGCACACAAACAACAACACACCAGAATCAAGACGAGTGTGTCGTGTCGTGTGTGTGTGTGGGGGTTGCTTGACCATACTTCACCACGCCGGTCATAGCATGATTGGTGGGGTAACTGTGATTGCGAGGGTAACAAACGGAAACGTTCATAATAAAGGTTTCTGGGTTAGATCGCGCTATTTATAAATGTGTAGACGAGCCTCCACCACCCGACACGGCCAATAAGTAAAAAAAATGTGTCACGTTGACACAAGACAAATAAATCTTGGCTTAAAGCTCTCGTGACTGCAGGAATTCAAATGCCTTGTGCCTTTCGATAAAGCCACGTAGATAGAAAAAATAACAAAAATATTTATAATTATAATTTTTTATTTAGATTTTTTGTTAAAAGGCACAACAATCATTTAGATTTTTGTTCTTTTTTTCCATCTACGTGGCTTTACCGAAAAACGCAAAGAATATAAAAGACAAATAGTTCACTACTTTAGCCCAGCGGTGTGTTGAAGAGTGAATCGGAAACATGTTGAAGGCCGCTGGCTCGCCAGTGGCACAGTGCACTAACCGTTGCGCCACCGCTCCATCATTGTTCATCCCTGTCGCGTCCAAGGTGGCAGAGAGGTGCTGGGGTGGGGGGGAGTGTGGGGGGAGTGTGGGGGGGGGGGGTGGGGGGGAGTGGGGGTGTGTGTGGGTGGGGTGTGGGGGGGTGTGTGTGGGGGGGTTGGGTGGGGGTGGTGGGGTGTGTGTGTGTGTGTGTGGGGGGGTTGGGTGGGGGTGTGTGTGGGTGTGTGTGGGTGTGTGTGTGTGGGTGTGTGTGTACACCCACACACACACACCCACACGGTGTGTGTGTGGGTGTGTGTGTGGGTGTGTGTGTGTGTGTACACCCACACACACACACCCCACACGGTGTGTGCTGACTCATCACGCCATCGCGCTCATCAAGGACCCAACGTGATGGAGCACGCGAGAGAGGGGAGGGAAGGAGGATGATGACGATGACGACGACGATGACGACGACGACGATGACGACGACGACGATGACGACGATGACGACGACGACGACGACGATGATGATGATGACGATGATGATGACGACGATGATGATGACGACGATGATGACGATGACGACGATGACGACGCGCGGCGTGGTGTTTGGGGGACACACGGGGGGGGGATTGAAGTGAATTGACCACAAGACGTATCGCGATGTTGCTTTATGCTCGAAGGGATTTGCCGACACGGGAGAGTAGGAGCGTCGGAGGGGGATGTCCAGGGTTTGTTTGGCCCAAGTACATCGATTGTTTAACACCACGGAGTAAAAGTCGTAGGGCTTTCGCGAGCAATATTATCCACATTAGAGGTTTTTTTTTGGGGGGGGAGGGGTGTGGGGTAGACATCAATGTGTCGTGAAGCCCGCCACCACCCCCGACGCAGCCAATCAGCGAGGGTGTCACACGCAACAGAAAACCTGTCAATTCGTTACTAGTTCAGGACTGACCGGGTTTCTGTTGGAGAGTAAACCCACTACAACATGTACAATTATAGTGTAGTGTATAGTGTAGTGTATAGTATTGTATAGTGTAGTATATAGTGTAGTGTATAGTGTAGTATACTAGTACAGAACTAACCGGTTGTGTGTTGGAGAGTAAACTCACAACATTTACAATTATAGTGTAGTGTATAGTGTAGTGTATAGTATTGTATAGTGTATAGTGTAGTATATAGTGTAGTATATAGTGTAGTGTATAGCGTAGTATACTAGTAAAGAACTAACCGGTTGTGTGTTGGAGAGTAAACTCACTACAACATTTACAATTATAGTGTAGTGTATAGTGTAGTGTATAGTGTAGTGTATAGTGTAGTGTATAGTGTAGTGTATAGTGTAGTGTATAGTGTAGAATACTAGTACAGCACTAACCGCTTGTGTGTTGGAGAGTAAACCCACTACAACATTTACAATTATAGTGTAGTGTATAGTGTAGTATATATAGTGTAGTGTATAGTGTAGTATACTAGTACAGCACTAACCGGTTGTGTGCTGGAGAGTAAACTCACTACAACATTTACAATTATAGTGTAGTGTATAGTGTAGTGTATAGTGTAGTGTATAGTGTAGTATACTAGTACAGCACTAACCGGTTGTGTGTTGGAGAGTAAACCCACTACAACATTTACAATTATAGTGTAGTGTATAGTGTAGTGTATAGTGTAGAATACTAGTACAGCACTAACCGGTTGTGTGTTGGAGAGTAAATCCACTACAACATTTTACAATTCGAGTAACCTGGCGACATTTCGTCGGTAATTACAACAACAACTTTGGTTTAAAGCTTTCGTGACTGCAGGGATTCATATTCTTGGTTCTTTCAATAAAATAATTTTAAAAAATATAAAACAATAAACAATATATTTTTTTATTGTTTCCCTTCTACGTGACTTTACCGAAAGAACCAAGAATATAACAACAACAACGGCAAGGAGCAGCATCATCAGGTAACAGCCACACAGTTGCGGATAAATCCTCCTCCTGTTTCCGACTTAAACCGAGGAGGGGATAAATGTGATGTCGTAACTTGTGAGTCTGTAAGGCTACGAAGATCATAGGGCTGGGCGGTGGGGGGTTAATGTATGCATATGAATGACAAAAATGGATCGATCACATTACCCGTTCGTTTATTACAGCTACTCCACATGACGGATTGTGTATGGGATTCCATAAATCGCGTCGCAACATGCATCTAGTAAGAGCGTGCGATTACGGTGCCTCTGCTTAATGGCTCGTGAGCATTTAACAGGCCGTACAGCGGAACGTTTACGAACATGTCAAGGGATTAAAAAAAGGTCGCAATAATTATTAGAATTGAAGTCACAAAATGGAATGCCCCATGACGACCCCCGTTTATACGGAGCGCTTCGTCAGACATTACACCGGAGGTGAAATTGACGGGATGTCGATTTTGATGACTTCGTCATTTTCTAAACCGCGTGTCAGAGTTTGCGATCAGTTTAACACGTAGGCTTTCACGACCGATGTCATCCACAATATAGGTGTTTTTTGTTTGGGTTAGATCGTGTAAATATAAATGTGTCGTTTAAACCCGCCACCACCCGACACAGCCAGATTAGTAAGGTTTGTCACGTAAACAGCACATGCCAATTCGTTACTAGTACAGCACATCGGTGTAAATGTTATGGATTTGTAAATCCCTGTGGGTTTGTAAATCTTGTTGATTTGCTCTCCAGCACACCGCCCACTCTGAAAGCAGACTCCGCTTTGTGCAAACGGCACCAGCTGATCCTCTTCCACCGCCCTCTCCCCATGTCACTTGACCCCTTCCCCCCATCCATCCCTCCATCCTTCCCTCCATCCTTCCCTCCATCCTTCCTTCCATCCTTCTCTCCATCCTTCCCTCCATCCTTCCCTCCATCCATCCCTCCATCCTTCCCTCCATCCTTCCCCCCATTCATCCCTCCATCCTTCCCTCCATCCTTCCCTCCATCCTTCCCTCCATCCATCCCTACATCTTTCCCTCCATCCTTCCCTCCATCCTTCCCCCCATTCATCCCTCCATCCTTCCCTCCATCCTTCCCTCCATCCATCCCTCCATCCTTCCCTCCATCCATCCCTCCATCCATCCCTCCATCCTTCCCTACATCCTTCCCTCCATCCTTCCCTCCATCCTTCCCTCCATCCATCCCTCCATCCTTCCCTCCATCCTTCCCTCCATCCTTCCCTCCATCCTTCCCCCCATTCATCCCTCCATCCTTCCCTCCATCCTTCCCTCCATCCTTCCCTCCATCCATCCCTCCATCCTTCCCTCCATCCATCCCTCCATCCTTCCCTCCATCCTTCCCTCCATCCTTCCCTCCATCCTTCCCTCCATCCATCCCTCCATCCTTCCCTCCATCCTTCCCTCCATCCTTCCCTCCATCCATCCCTCCATCCTTCCCTCCATCCTTCCCTCCATCCTTCCCTCCATCCTTCCCCCCATTCATCCCTCCATCCTTCCCTCCATCCTTCCCTCCATCCTTCCCTCCATCCTTCCCTCCATCCATCCCTCCATCCTTCCCTCCATCCATCCCTCCATCCTTCCCTCCATCCTTCCCTCCATCCTTCCCTCCATCCTTCCCTCCATCCATCCCTCCATCCATCCCTCCATCCATCCCTCCATCCCTCCATCCATCCATCCATCCATCCCTCCATCCATCCATCCCTCCATCCCTCCATCCATCCATCCCTCCATCCATCCCTCCATCCATCCCTCCATCCATCCATCCATCCATCCATCCATCCATCCATCCATCCTTCCCTTCATC